CTACAAATTCAGTCACTGCACTTCATAGTAAACCGTATGAAGCATTTTGAACTGTCCTCCCGATGTGAGAGGCCTATACTAAATTCAAACATTATTACAGTAATTTATCCATCAGTGACGTCCAGCGTGTTCGGCACCAGTGTGCAGCGCTCAGACACTATCCTGCGAGAAGGGTGCAACTTGTTGTCCTCTGTTCCTATAATAACTCTTTTGCTCAGTTATTTCTGCAAACCATTCACCAAGATTCTGTGTGGACATCTACCTTAAAGTTTTAATTAATCTGAAAAGAAAATCTGTTGAACAGGGACATATTTTTCTATTTAACATTTACATTCCTTTGCATTGTGATCTTGCACCTGCACAAATGCAGTTCCTGGGGATCTGCCAATTCAAGCTTTACTGAACGTTCACTGCAAATGCTCAATTCCTCTCCACAACTCCACAGAAAGTCTACTGACCAATGGACAAGAATTAAAACCGTCAAATTCTCCCCATAATTCACCAAGACAATATTTACAAGGCCCCAGTTCGACAACGCCTTTCGACAGTCTAAATCTCCTTGGCTACAATTCTACTCTGTAAAAAAAAAAGCGTGTCTCGTTGAAGCTCAGCATTAATAAAATAAAGAGACTACAAAGAGCACCGAGAGAAAATGCTGACTTCTCACTGTTTGCTGTGGCAATTATCTAAATCGAGATCTGAAAGATTATAGCTTTGTTTAAATTCAATTGCAGTGTCCAGCTCCAGAATCAGTTTGATTTAAGAATCACCAAGTCCATTGTTCAGGTCAACCCAGACTTTGGTTAACAGGCTCCTTCCAGGTCCAAGAGTCAGTTCCTCCCGACTCAGCCCATCTCATTGTAATTATCTTTGCTGACTTTTCATTGTTTGCTGGTAGGAGAATCATAGCTCTAACACTTTACCTAAAAATTCAAACATTAAGGCAAATCTTAATCCTCAAAATGCAACCAGAGAATGTGAAATAAAAACTAAGGCTGAAACATTCCATGCCTTGTAGCATTTCGTTCACAGACAAACTCTTGGGAGTTACATATACATACAACCCTTTCAACACAGAATGTCCTTCACGGCTTTCACAAACATGAGCAAAGGCACCTTTCTGTGAGTGTGGGGGGAAGTGTGGGGAATGAAAGCCTCAGAGGGAGGGGACTGCTTGTCAAAGACAAACCATGATTTTGCACGATGATCCAGCCCTATGAGAACTGCCAAACACTACAGCAGACTAAGCTTTTTATCATACATTAGAATTATTTGGGGGCAATTCAGTAGTGTTTTATGGCTCCAAATCCTCATCCCCACAGAGGTATGGAATATTTGTTTGCAGATAACAGAAAAATGACACGCCCACATCTTCACCCTCATTACGCAAGGCCAGCTAATAACACGCTTTAATCATATGGGCAAGCTTCTCCAAGGAACATGGCGGACTATTCTTTCAATAATGACAAATATTACAACTTATCAATCTTGATGAAAAATCCTGTCTTACTTTTGGCGCAGGTAAACTCGCCCAATTACCTTTGATTTAGTTCGCACTCCTCGCCCCTCCCTATCTCCACCATTCACAAGTTATAATAATAATCCTTGCATTTAATATAGCGCTTTTCACGTCTTCTAGACGTCCCAAAGCGCTTCACAGAATATACTGTAAAGTGAATTGACTGTATATTTGTGGGCAAATGCGGCAACCAATTGCGCACAGCAGTGTCCCACAAACAGTCATGGATTGAAAATGACCAATTTATTACTGTTTTTTTTTGGAGGGATTATTATTAGGCTCTGTGTGGAGTAAGGAAACTTGCCCAAGGTTTCGCCCTGCCTGATCCAGTTGCAACTGATCCAGAACTCCATCGCCCTCATCCTCACCTGCACCGAACTCCACATGCCCATCATCCTCAAGCCAACATTCACCCCTCCTCAGGCTTGCTGCATGTCCCCACACCATCGGTGGCCGAGGTCTCAATTCCTATGCTCATAATCTCTGGAACTTCCTCCCTCTACCACTCTGTTTCACCCCATTTCTTTCTGCCCCATCTCAAATCCTACCTCTCTGAATGCATCTCTGGCCATCTCCCCTCCACCTCCCAATTCAGTGTTCACCCTCGTCCCTGTGAAGCATTCCAAAATCTTACTCTATGGGAAGAGCACTATATAAAGGCAAGCTGTTGAATGACCTGATAACAATTCTCAGAGGATACATCTGCTTTAATATTCCAAGAACAGAACTTAGTACTGGGGAGTTCTCAGTAATCAGTAGCTAAAAGTACATTTACTTACTCACAAACTAGTACCATTATTTACCCTTTACATCTGCAAACACAATATCAAAATTAACCTAGAGATAATCTAATTATTCTTAAAGGCCCCAAAAAAGTCCTGCAGAGTAGAATAGAAGACACTAATGAGAACCGCTGCATGTTCAATAACAGCACTGGCTTGACAAAACAGAATTTTATGCCTTGAAAACAACATGTTAACAAGGTACAATAATCTTGCAACAGTACTGCCCATTAGTGCCACTTATTTAAAAAGTTTCCCAAAATAATTCAGCCGCCTGACGTTTGAATTCCAGTATTTCTGGAAAATATGTATTTTTTTTCTTATTCAGCAGCCAAGCTTTAGGCAGTCAGCCAGACATTGGGATACTTAATTCACAATCAGGACAGGCTTATCCCTGAACACAGTGGTCCTACAGATATGAAAATAACTAACACTGGATGCCATATTGGTCAGTTCAAATTGAAATGCCTGAATTACTTTGAAAGTAAAACAATACTTTTATATGAAACAATTTTTAGAAAACAGGATTTCTGAGTTTGCCAAAAACACACCGGAAGCCCAAGTCAACAAATACTAGAAGTGTTCAATAGAAAATACTGTAATTGAGCAGATTGAATATTTCAGTAGTTATCTGATCAGAAAATACGACAAGCTCCAGCTATTACGTGGCTTATTTCTTTTAACAACCAATACATTTCGTGTTAATCCCATGTACACAAATTCTATGCGCTCAAAGCAAATTCCGGCTGACAAACTCACTCAACCCTTGCACCCAACACGCAAAGCAGCAGCACCCACCCAGTAACGAAGCCCTTACAGTCAGACCAACCGCAGCAGCAGTTGACACTTGTATAACCCCCTTTTTATATTGTGTGGAAACGACTCGAAGCGCTTCAGGGAACAGCACCACGAAACCAGGATATAATATGCCGCGTTGGCACAGACTGGTCAACGCTCAACCGGTATCCAGTGCACAGCACCACCATTCAAGCAAGCAGTGACCCTGCTCAGCAGCCAGTGAACCCGAACCCGGCTCAGCTTCAGCAGAGCAACACCACTCCGACCAAGGAGAGCTGCAGCTCAGCCTCGCATCGCTCCACCAAAACCCCCCCCCAAAAAAAAAATTGGTCATTTTCAATCCACGACTGTTTGTGGGACATTGCTGTGCGCAATTGGCTGCCGCGTTCGCCCACAAATATACAATCACTTCACTTTACAGTGTGTTCTGTGAAGCGCTTTGGGACGTCCTCCCGGACATGAAAAGCGCTATATCAAATGCAAGGATTATTATTATTACTCGACTCCAGACTGAGGAGTCTCACACAGACACTGACCTCCCTCCTCAGTGCCGTTAATCCTGGGTAAAGTAAAGCACTTGCATTTTTCACAACGCCTTGTGCTGTTCAAACATCCGCAAGCGAGTTGGGCAACAAGAAAAAACTGCCAAAAAGTGTGGTGACGGTTTCCTGCAGGCGCAGCTTTTACACACACATCTTTACACCCCCCCCTCAACACACACACCCACACCCCTTACCCCCTCAACCACACACAAACCCACACCTCTTACCCCCTCAACCACACACACAAACCCACACCCCTTACCCCCTCAACCACACACACACACCCTTACCCCCTCAACCACACACACACACCCCTTACCCCCTCAACCACACACACACACCCCTTACCCCCTCAACCACACACACACACCCCTTACCCCCTCAACCACACACACACACACCCCTTACCCCCTCAACCACACACACACATCCCTTACCCCCTCAACCACACACACACATCCCTTACCCCCTCAACCACACACACACATCCCTTACCCCCTCAACCACACACACACACACACCCCTTACCCCCTCAACCACACACACCCACACCCCTTACCCCCTCAACCACACACCCACACCCCTTACCCCCTCAACCACACACACCCACACCCTTACCCCTCAACCACACACACCCACACCCCTTACCCCCTCAACCACACACACCCACACCCCTTACCCCCTCAACCACACACCACCCTTACCCCCTCAACCACACACACAAACCCACACCCCTTACCCCCTCAACTACACACACACATCCCTTACCCCCTCAACCACACACACATCCCTTACCCCCTCAACCACACACACATCCCTTACCCCCTCAACCACACACACACATCCCTTACCCCCTCAACCACACACACACCCCTTACCCCCTCAACCACACACACAAACCCACACCCCTTACCCCCTCAACCACACATACACACCCCTTACCCCCTCAACCACACACACACACTCCCCTTACCCCCTCAACCACACACACACACCCCTTACCTCCTCAACCACACAAACCCACACCCCTTACCCCCTCAACCACACACACCCACACCCCTTACCCCTTCAACCACACACACACCCACACCCCTTACCCCCTCAACCACACACACACACCCTTACCCCTCAACCACACACACACATCCCTTACCCCCTCAACCACACACACACATCCCTTACCCCCTCAACCACACACACATCCCTTACCCCTCAACCACACACCACACCCCTTACCCCTCAACCACACATACACATCCCTTACCCCCTCAACCACACACCCACACACCCCTTAACCCCCTCAACCACACACACACGCACACGCACAAGGCCGCGGGACCATCCATCCACGCCGCTCACCTCCCGCACGTCCTGCAGACACTCGAGCACCACGAAGTTGTTCTGCCAGGTGTGCTTGGGGCACAGGCGGGCCACGTCCTCGCGGCACAGAGCGTCCTCCGAGATCCTCCAGACGTTCTTGCGCGGGGGCTGCGCGTGGATCGGGGCCTGGGCGTGGGGCCCGGCCTGCTCCTGGACCTGGAACGGCGCAACCTGGACGTTGGGCTGTTGAGCCAACAGCTGCTGCTGCTGCGGCGGCGGCGGCGGCTCGTTGTTGTTGTTGTTGATGCCGCCGCCGACGCCGCCGCCGACGGCTAAGCCGTTGGCCTGGGACGCCACCGTGTTGTCGAGCGAGGAGAGCAGAGTCAGGGCGGCCGCCAGCAGCAGACAATGCGAAGCCGAGGCCTGAAATCGATGCCAAGTGCAGGCCGCTGCCGCCGCCGAAGACGACGCCAGACACCCACGTCCACACGCCGCCATCTTGTAGCGGCCACTGCAGCCGCTCGGCCTCTTTTTATACCCGGCGTGACTGACACGTCAGCGCGCACGCACCGCACGCCCCCAACCCTCGTGACGTCATTACGTCCCTGGCCCTGCTGCCACCCTCTGCCCATGTGGCCACTCACTCACTCACACCCTCACTCACTCACACCAGGTCCTGGGCGGCCTGAGCCTGAGGTCCCACCCACCGTCCACCACCTGTCCATTTGCCCACTGCGCGGACCCTTCGCGGCCGCATCATTTTTTTTTTACTCATTCTCTTAGCCAACGCCACGCGGTCACTCCTCCGTGAGCGCTGGTGTCCCGCAAAGATGCAGTCGGTCCACTTTACGGTCTATTCTGCGAAGCGCTTTGAGACGTCGAGAAGACGTGAAAAGCGCTGTATCAAACGCAAGGATTAGTATTGTTGTATTCGACAAACGTACCCCGGCTTTCAGGTCAGGAGGAGATCTCGAAGCGCTTCGTGGGATTTATTGCAACGTGTAGTGGCTCTGTATTTTGTAAAAGGTAGAAGCCAATTTGCACACAGTATCGTCCCACAGACAGCCACGGAGCGAATGACGGATTTTATCTCGGAGACTGCTGGCCAGGAAGCCAGGAGAGGCTCCCTTCTCTTTTTAAAGATCCCGTGTCACCGAATCTTTAAAGTCCACCTGAACAGACAGACAGGACCTCGGTTTAATGTCTCGTCAGAAGGAATAGCACCTCGGACAAAGCAGTGCACTGGATTGACTGCACTATGAGCTCAAAGTCTCGACTATTTACGTAGACAAAAAAGCATCTTATCTTCACAATCAGAACAAAAGGATGTGCAAATTGTTCTAGTGGTAAAAGGAAGATAGGTAGATATGTGTCACAAATTGCTATAAAAGATTTCATTAAGGAACTGTTCAAATTCTTATCAACCAAAATAATTCGGGCTTATACAATTTAGAAATATCAAAAGATTTGTACAGGAAATGGACGGGTAGGCTAGATGAATTGATTGTTATTCCTGCCTGAAATTATTACTACTATGAGTTATCAGCGACTATAGAATTTGTGACTGGAGCCTGGGTTCATTTCTGCTATTTGAGATTGACATTTAAATTAATAATTTTTGTTCCACAGGTTTTGTGTTTTTTTACTAAATTTGATGCCAAGGTGAACTTTGCACTAGCTGTAATTTATTTGCCGACTTTAAATCACTTACTTTGCAATGGCCTCAGTTTTCGAAGGTTTACCATGAGTTCAGTACTGAGGCGAAAAAGAGAAATAACTGGAGCAACAGTTTGTGGTCAGTGAAAGGAATACGATGTTTCGAAGCCTTTCAACAGGAAGCTGGAGTATTATCTGTCATGAGTTTCTACTGTGATGTTTTCTCTGCTTCTGTTCTTCCTGTGGTCTGAGCACTCTACCATTGCATTCTTGAGATCTTCTTGTTGGCCCTGACATCTCTTTACATCACAGAATTCTGAATAACACCCAAGATTAATGGTGTCCTGCATTCAGTCCCACTCGACTGGAAAACCTCACAGGGTTTCTGTGGGTAAGAATCACGTTATGGCACGGAAACAGGCCACTCAACACAGCTGGACTCATTTGAAAAGCAGCTTGATGCAGTGATGGAGGCGGGAACTGTAGAGTGGGTATTCTGAGATAGTAATAATAATAATCTTTGCATTTGATATAGCGCCTTATCATGTCTTCGAGACGTCTCAAAGCACTTCACAGAATATATTGTAAAGTGAATTGACTGTATATTTTGTGGGCAAAATGTGTCAGCCAATTGTGCACAAGAGGGTCCCACAAACAGTCGTGAATTCAGTGACCAAATTATTATTATTATTTAAAGCAATCCACCAATCAACTAACAACCGGGTTCCTACTTACTGCTAGGTAAACTGAGGCATGTGTAGTAAGGAAACAACATTTATACTCCAAATGTAAATTTAAAAATTTATACTTCAAATTAACCCCTACTCATCCTAATACCTTCTATTCAATTCTATTCTGCCTCATGTACACATTGTGTTTCCTGTCAAATACGTTAATGCTGTTTGAGTGCTCTGAGACCCTGCCCGGTGTGAAGGGTGCTATATTAATGCAAGCTGTCGTTTTGCTTCAGCCAGTTTCCAGCAGTGAGTTTCACATTTTCTCCAGCCTCTGGGTTAAAAACTTCGAGAGCTGGGAGCAGTGTGACTCAGACTGCAGAGTATGCTTATGGCTGTAAACAGGCTGGAGACCCTGTGTGACAGGCTCCTTTGTCCCCAGATTAATGTCTAGTTGTGTTGCTCACATGCTCGATTCAGTCTCCTGTGGTTGGTTCCATTTTTACCTCACCACAAAGCAACACCACCTCTTCCCTTCACATATCTAACAGACGGATGACGTCACCTACTTATTTTCACGTGCAACAAAACAATTCTTAAATCCTCGTTTCTTGTGCACGTTCGGCCACACAATCCACAGTCAATTTACTTTACAGTATACTCTGCAAAGCGCTTCGAGATGTCTCAAAAGACGTGATAAGGCGCTATATCAAATACAAGGATTATTATTATTATTTCATCAAGGAGCTGGAGCTGGGAAGTTGAGTCCTTTACCATTTCAGACCCATGCAGCACAATTAGAATCAAGGTATAAAGTTCCCTCAGTCTACACTGTCACAATATCTCCTGTGCCTGAGCTGGATTTTTTTTTGATCAGCCGAGTATCTGACGCATGCGGAAACCCAAGGTTAAGAGTAACAAAACCAGCTTGAGAGTATATATTTATGTCACCTGCACATGGAATTTTCCCTTTCTGGAATGGAATGCACTCTCTCATCCAGGAGGAACGCACCACATTTAGCTAATTCCAGAGAGTATTGTGGAGTCCTGTAGCATGGTCACTCGCCTCACAAACAAGAGGACCTGGGTTCGATTCCTGGGTGGGGCAAAACCTTAGGCAAGTTTCCTTACTCAGGTGGATGTTAAAGATCCCAGGGCACTATTCAAAAAACAGAAGACTTTTTTTTCCGGGTATCCTGACCAACAATCCCCCATACTCGTTTCATGGCTGCTTGATGGACATTGCTGTGTGCAAATGTGCTGCTGTATTTGCCTACAAATACTCAGTCACTCCATTTCAGTAAATCCTGTGAAGCGCTTTGAGACGTCCTTCAAATATGATAAGGTGCTATGTCAAATGCAAAGGATTATTTATTTAATACCTCATCTGAAGGATAGCACCTCCGGCAATTCAGCAATTATCGCAGGACTGCATAGGAATGTCAGCCTGGACCGTGAGCTCAAACCCCACCTTGGGGCTTGAACACACAATCTTCTGACCCACAGCTGAGCGCCCTAACAACTGAGTCAAGCTACAGGGTAAAACTCCTGTGGAAATGAGTGCAAGTCTGCTCCCTCTTTGCTGAAGAGGCTTCTCTGGCTGCTGAGATCTCATTTTTCTGCATGGAGGCCATTCAGCCGAACTCAGTTTGTCTCGATGCCTAAAGGTTGTTTCAGATCATGTCTCTGGGGCTCTAACCTGACAACAGTGGAAGGTGCAAGATCGTGGTCTGGCACAACACAGTATAATGGAGAACTCCTGGCCATTGGTGTCTGAGCACCCCAGACCTTACTCGAATGTGTCAGTTACCAGCCGCTGTGCTATTCTTCATTCCTTGGTCATCATGGCTCCCGTCTGGTTTGCTATGCTCTGTTAGGGGAAGAGTTCTCTTTTGTGCTTTCAGCGACCACACCCCGAAACTCTAGAACACACTCCCTCAATCCCTCCGCAATGCCCTCTCTCTCCCCGTGCTTACGGCCATTTCGGCTCGGCATCAGGCTCTGCCACTGTTAAGCGCTCTGAGATGCTCCCCTGCATGGAGGGTGCTATGTAAATGCAAGTTGTTGTGCAGACTCCAAAAGCAATTACAGAATGCATACTTAGGAAAGGTCAGCGAGAGAGATTATTGTGCACAGATGTTTTTGTTGGTGCTCGGCTAAATCTTGAAGTACTTTGTCCATGACAACCACTGTGGTGCTATAGTGTAGATTATTACCATGTCTCTTGTTCTAACGTATCCCCTCCAGAGCTCAGAGAATTGAAGCTGGCTACAGATCCCAAAGCACTCACAGTCACGAGATCACAAGACTGGTCTGGATGAAGAAAGCCCTTCTGATCTCATCTTGTCGTCTCGCCCACAAAATGTACAGTCAGTTCACTTTACAGTATATTCTGTGAGCGCTTTGAGACGGCTCGAAGACATAAGGCACTATATCAAATGTGAGGATTATTATGAAAGATCACACGGCCCTATTTGAATAGGGAAGGAAGTTTCTCCTGGTTCTGGCTGACATCTTCCCAAATAAAAAAATTGTCACCAAAAATTGGTCACAGCTGTCTGTGGGATGATGCTGTGGCGAGTTGGCTGCCGCATTTGTTCACAAAATACACAGTCATTCAACTTTATTGTATATTCTGTGAAGCGCTTTGGGACATTCTCCTGATGTGAAAGGCACCAAACTAAATGTGAGGATTATTATTTATATATGTATGTACATCTGCAGCGGTGAAGCACACATGTTGACTTCAGATTGTCAGGCAATACACACAGGGTAGCATTTAATGGAAGTTCTCCATATTAACGTATGCAAAGGCAGATGCTGAGCAGACAGGATTAGACATTGGTGACCTCATCCTACAACTGTGGGAATTATATTTGCAATAGATTTGGTGGGGTCAGAGGAAGAGAAGGAGCAACAATATAACAACAACTAACTCTCAAGAGCCAATTCCATTGTTCTAAAAAGCTGTTCATTAGTCAGATCAATAAATATGGCTGAAAAGCGATCCACAATTGAATAACGACCGGGTTCTATTTACTGCTAGGTAAACAGAGGTGTGTGGGGTAAGGAAACTTGCCTAAGATTTTGCCCTGCCCAGGGATCGAACCCAGTTCCTCTCACTTGCGAGGTTAAGTGCTCTTAACCACTCAGCTACAGGACTCCAGGACTTAATAAGGAATCCTGTTAAGAATTCCCGTCACCACATAGGAACGCCACTGCAGAAGGGGATGTGCCAGTTGGACTCTCCCATAGGTCAGCACGTTCCATTTCAGGTGACCGGGAGGAGTCCCATTGGCCCGTCTCAGTTTCCTTATTAAGGAATTTCGTTAAGAAATACTGCATGTTAAAACATCAAACGTGAAACTTCCAGCAGGAATTAATAGTGAAACTTCTCTGAGATCACATTGAGCCTTCAAACACTCTGGATTTATGATGCTCTCAGAAACACTTAAGCTCCTCACTCGTTTTTCGGAGGAGGTTTAGAGTTGGATACATCTGGCATTTAGGTTTCTGCATAACACATGCGTTGCTGACCTCTATATATTTTTAGCGATTGCCAAAACAGCCCGATTGAATACATCTGGAATTGGCCCAATACTTATTTTGGCACATGGAATTTCGTGATTGCGTGTGTTATTTCTATGCAACTTGTCCATTACAGGACTTATCTGGTCTTTAATTCTCTTGACTATTTCATGCACAGCTTGCAATACAAATCTTTGGATCTCTCCAGTTATAAAAAACATCTCACTTTCAATTTTTCTTTATTCCCTTTCAATATTCCTCCCTCCTGCTCTCTTGGAGTATTAGATTCCCAGATGTGTGCATGTCTCCATTATCTCGCCCAAGTGCCTGTTATTCAGGTGTGCGTCCAATGACCCAATGGACGATGCAGTAATAAGCTGTACAGAGAAAAATGCAGCTTTGATTCCCAGTCTGTGCCTCTGATCTCAGCTGATGTAATCGATGAAGCGATTAAGACTTAATGTCTGGGTTGAGAGGACTGCAATGAATTGGGCGCTCCTTATTGCTATCCAGATTTCATAGTCATCTCACTCAGCTCCTGTTAACCCTGTAATCCAAAGCCCTAACAGGTAGGGTGGTCCTATCTGGACAAGCAGCAGGAAAGCTAGCCAGACAGCGATATCAATAGCAAGTTAGATGTTTTTAGCTGGTTACACTCCAGCAGTTACCCCAACGCTCACTCTGGGGTCTCCAAGCCTTGGATCTTGCCAACCTGCGCCTGATACTTTCCGGAATTAGGTAAGCAGGATGTCTCCCTCCAGGGAGAGAGTGCGCATTCCATTCCAACAATCTATCTCTGGGATTTCCATGTGAAGGTGGGATGCATGGAAATCTCAGCTTGGTTTAGGTACTCTTAAGCACGGTGTTGGGTTTTCATACCTACCAGACACCCAGCTGCCCCTCCCCCCCGGATGCTTCTTTCACATAAAAGGTAAATCAAATGACTTGCCCGCAATGTGTCGGCAATGCTTATTGAAGAAAACCAGGCTTGGGGAGTTACAGCAGAAGGAAGAAAACTCCTGAGAGTTTGCACCATTCAGTTAATCTTTATTTCAATACAACAGTAATAAAAGGAAACTATGTAGATTTAGACACACAACCGCTCGTTCAGGCACACATCAACCCTTCGGTTTCACGCACACACAGGAAACGCACTCTCATTCAATGAGACCAGGAGGTTGCAACCTCTTATTCTTTCAATCCTTCTGGTAGGCAGCGGCTCGCTCCCCCAGAGTTAGTGAACATGATGTCCTTGCCCTGTACAAGGCAAAGTACCTCAGCCGTGTAAAAAAAGTTCTTCATATAAATGGAGAGAAAGAGCAGGTTGTCTGATTGTTCCTTATAAAACTCACCAAGTAAGAGGAGGTTAAGATGAATCACTTCAACATTGCCTCTGCAGCCTTGCTATAGTTCTCTAGACAGATTGCGCGCCCACAATTAGACCGCAGTCTATAGGAAGCGTTTTGAAATAGGCTCTTCAGTTGTAGTGCAGTGGGCCAGCCTATTGCAGAATGAACACATTGACACAACGGTCAACCATTGCATTATTAACCCACAGTGATAATGGAGCAATGCCAGGTGATTGCAGAATTAACAACAAAATTAAATTTGTAAAGCGCCTTTCACGTCGGGAAGACATCCCAAGGCGCTGGTAACATTGCTACGGAACAATGTCAACCCATTGGAAAATGAATGCGCTGTGAAGCCAGCCCTCAGCATTATAGAGACACCGACATGGAGCTAGGCCAGTCCAAAGCAGTCAACACACTGCCATATTGGAGTGGTGCTCGCCCATTGCACAGTAACACAAAGTGATAAGAGTTATTCCTAATACTGCAATTTTCAGCACTGTTTCCTGTCACAGTATGTGTGAGGGTTTGGGGCATCCCCAAACATAAGATGATGGGGGATGAGGAAGAGTGAAGTGCAGTGAGGCACAGGCCACTCACGTCTGACTAGAACCAGCAGTGGTTTGGATGCAGATTACCTGCTGACTGTAAAGAGGGAGGAAAAAACAGAAAAAAAAGAAAAAGAAGTAAGACGGGAACACAGTGAAATTCCTCTGTTTCGAAGGAAACGCAAAACCTCAAGAAAGCAACGAGCAGGACTCGCAGAGCAGTGTCCAGTGAGCAGCAGCTGCTTTGAAACAAGAAATGATATTTTTAAAATAAAAAGAATGAAGGATGATTCCGAGGTTACAGTCGGGAAAATCAGCAGCAAACAGAGTGCACGCGATAAGCAGATGATCCTGTTTAAGAGGTCCGCAGATTTGATTTCAATCCCCTCGAGTGCAGCTCAGGAATACTCGTACAGCTTGGCCCTTGGTTGCCAGGCCTGTCATGTTGAACAATGCCAGCACAGGCGGATGGAGGCAGCCCATCTAGGCCCATTTGTAGATCTTGACCATTTTTTCTGTCAGGGTTCCGAGGAAACTGGTCTGATTGGCTTCAAAGGGACAGATGTCCAAAACAGGCTGGTCAGCCTGCAGCTTCTGAAGCAGGCAGCCACTTCCAGCATCCCATACCTGCCACAGCAAGACAACAACCAGGTTAACAAGCGGACTGAACCCGAGACACCAGAGCGTACTGTTCCCGGGGTCGATGCTGCCAGACACTCACTGACCAAACACTTTATGCTCAGCAGTTTCACCCACTGACTTGCACACAAGCTCCAAATCTTTACTGGATGCTGCAATGAGGGGGAACAAAGATTTGCCTATTTATAATCCTTATATTTGGTTCAGCACCTTTCATGCCTCAAAGTGCTTCTCAAGATATACTGTAAGCAGGGTGGATTTTGTGGCTGAATGACAAGAACAACAACATCTTGCATTTATACAGCGCCCTTCACATGGGGTAGCGTCTTGGAGCGCTTAACTGTGGCACAGCCCAACGCCAAGCCGGGGGAAGGACGTGATTGTAAGCACGGTTGAAGAGGAAAAACTTTATGCGTGTTCTAAAAAACGGGGAAGGCAGAGGTATTGAGGAGAGTTCCAAAGTTTCGAGGTGTGGAGGCTGAAAGGATGGCCACCAATGATGGAGAGGATGAGGGACAAGCAGGAGGCTGGAGCCAGCCGAGCAGAGGGAGCGCATGGTAGAGTGGGGAGTAGACAGGTCGGAGAGGTAGGGAGGTGCCAGGGCATGAAGGGGTTTGTGGACGAGTATGACAATGCAACTGTATTATTAGAGGAGGATTTACTCTCAATGAAACCTTCACTCCACAACAAGGGACCTAATTTTCCTGTCTTGGAAGAATCACAAGAGATCAGAAGTCTAATTATAACAAATTCACACAGTAAATCTGAGCCATTGGCCCAAAGACTCGCTGAGGTGCCAAGGAAGGGAATATGGAATAAGGATACACCGTCTACTAGATTCCAGTTCTCATAATGATCAATAGTTTCCAGATTAATCCAGCCAGTCACAAGATGAATGCCCAACTCTGAGAAATGCCCATTTCCTCAGGAGGGAAAGAAAATTTGGTCACTTCAATCCATGACTGTTTGTGGGATACTGCTGCGCTCAATTGGCTGCCGTGTTTCACCCACAAAATACACAGTCAAACGATACTGTCAAATCACTTTACCATATGTTCTGCGAAGCGCTTTGAGACGTCTCAACGACATGCTAAGGCACTATATTAAATGCAAATATTATTATTATTTTATGGAGGCTGCTGCCACCCAGTGACTGACTGCGCTATTGCAATCATCTGCACCAAAAGAAAACTTATGAAGACTGAAGAGTGGAATTGATACAGGTTTGACATTACGCCTGACAAACACAAAGCAACTTCAGTGAAAGCGGATGGTTCTGACCCAACTCGTGCCTCACCCCACAGTAACTATGCAAAATATGGGCATAGTGAAGGAATTTAAGTTTCCAAGATGTCATTTTACACAAGTACAGCCTTTTGAAGGATTCACGTTATGGTTCACAAAGTGCTTCACAGAATTTACTGTAAAATATAGTGACTGGAATTTGTAGGCAAACATGGCAGCCAATTTGCACACAGCAATTTCCTAAAAAAAAAGACCTGGAAATGAATGACCAATTTTATTTGGGGGATCGTTGGCCAGGACACCAGGAGAAACGCTCTTGTTTTATCAAATAGTGCCACGGAATCATGAAACACACTCACTGCATTTTGAGACGTCCTCCTGGCACGAAAGGTACTATATCAAAGTGAAGGATTATTATTATCTTTAACATTCACTTGAACAGGCAGTCAGGACCCAGTCTGATATTGGCACCTCTAACAATGCAGCACACCCCAGCACTGTCCCGCATGGAGCTCAAACCCCACAATCTTCTGACATTCTCGTATAATCTCGCTTTTCTTTGCATATTAACTGAGTACCAGTGTGACAAGGTTTTGTGAAGAACATAGCAACGCTCCTCTTCATTTATACCCATTCACATAACAGACAGTCACCGAGTACCAGAGTCAATGCCTTTAATGCGGAATTTGTAAAAATCTCAGTATGTATCAATAATAATAATAATCCTTGCATTTGATATAGCGCCATATCACGTCTTCGAGACATTTCAAAGCGCTTCACAGAATATACTGTAAAGTGAATGGACTATACATTTTGGTGAGCAAAACAGTTAAGTCTGTCACAACCATATTAGCAAAGCACAGACTTTGAAGAAGCAGTGACTCACCATGGCCCTGTTTGTGGCCTCATCCCCAGCACACACCAGGATGCTGCCGTCCTGCTCGGGGTTGTTGAAGATGGCATTTTTGGTCAGCAGTTTGCAGGTGGAGCCAGCGCTGAATGTCTGGATGGGGTAACACGTGCAGATCAGATCCTCGAGGGAGTTCGGTAAGGGACTGCTCGATAACTCCATCAACACACACCGTAAAGAGGTGTGGGTCTTTCCTGATAAAAACAGTGTGATTACTGCGCGCACACGCACACACACACACACAGCTGCTGAGGCATCTTTTATCCCTTCCAGAATTTTATCATTTGGTTTTTGTAAACAGTGTTCTGCGACAACACAAATTACATTTATTAAGAATAATAATTTCAAAGGATGATCAGGTAATAATAATCCTTGCATGTGATATAGCTCCTCATCACGTTGTTGGGACATCTCAAAACGCTTTACAGAACATATTGTAAAATGGATGGATTCTGTATTTGTGGATGAAATGCAGCAACCAATTGTGTACGGCAGTATGCCACAAACAGTCGTGGATTGAGTGACCAGTTTTTTTTATAGGAATTAGTACCCACAGAAAGTCATCCGTTAAATGACTAACAATCGGATTCCTACTTACTGCAGAGGCATGTGGAGTAGAATTTGCCTTGCCCCCATGAATTGAACCTGGGTCCTCTGGCTTGCAAGGACCCAGGTTTATATAGCGGTTTCCAAGTTAGAAGGACGAGACGGGGGGAGGAGCTAAAGAGTATTTTTGTGGCGACGGGAGGGAGAAAGCAGAGGCAGAGAGGAGTCATTTCGTTGTCTTATTTGTCAACGAACTCAAATTTTAGATTGTCCTCCAATTTTACAGTTCGTATCATTATAGTGGCATATCCAGATCCCTCCCAGCCTGCCCACCGTGTCCCTGCTCTGTGTACCTGGCCTGTATGTGACGAGACAATGCCGTAATGTGGGTTCGACCTGGATATCTGTGCAGCTCCCGGCCTCCAGGGGCAACAGGTGGGCCTGTACGTGTCTGAGGATTTCTGCTCCCAGAAGCAGCCGCCCTCCAGGGTCCCAGCCAACAGCCCGCCACACGGAAACGCTGCAGAGGCCATGCGCGGGAGGTAGGACAGCGACGTCACAGGACACCTGAAGAACAGAGGTAGGAACAGACATTCAATCACGACTGTTTGTGGGACACTGCTGAGTCCCAATTGGCTGCCGCTTTTCACTCAAACATACAACAACAACAACAAGATTCCATTTATTGAGCGCCTTTCACGTCGGGAGGACGTCCCAAGGCGCTGTACAGTTGGGTCAGGACCCGAGCAGGGGGGAGATGGTCAGGGTGAGGGGAAGGAATACACAGCGCTTTGAGACGATTGAACTCTGTGA